ATCAGTAGAACGAATATTTTTATTTACTTCCAGACGGGTGCGTAAAGAAATATCAAAATATATATTTAGAATTTGAATGAATTTAATATGTTTTTCATCTAATATAATTATTACTCGTCAAAAATCTTGTTTCAGTATTCGTAAATTTGTTTAATCAGATATTTCCGTAAGTTAAACTATTAGCAATTTTTCTTCAGTAAATTTACATTATTAAATTCTATTCTTCGTGTTGCAGTCATGAAAGAGCATTTCAAGGATTTTTTTTCTTAAATCATGGAAATTTTTTAGTCTATCTTTCACATGTAGTGGGCTTTTATTATATGGTGTTTAGTGTCATAATGCATTTTTCTATATTTCGGCGAAATATAAGTTATTTTATTTACGTTTTCCAATAAAAAAACTACCCATAGTTCCATAAACGCAACATTTTGTTGCAAAAGAAGTATCGATCGAAGAAATTTTTAAATTCCATTTACATTTTTTCTTATATACTTTTACAAGTAAAAAGTAATTATATATGTGAAAATTACCTTTTTTTACTGCTTGGTATTTAATGGGTCAATTACATATTCGACAGGGTGGTATCGAAACGTGTATCAAAATCGAAGTCCCTTTTCTGATAATATTCGAAACATTACAATGTTATAACTAGACTGCGGATTTTTATGCAAAATAAAAGTTTCTAAAGTAATTTATAACGACAGGAGCAATTGTAGAAATATATTTTCCCTCTTAAGCATCTGATTGGGTTCAAAATAAAATAGAAAACTCGTTGGATTCGATGAAAGTTTTGTTTTTTTTATTGTATTTCACAGAGCCCTAAATGCATAAAATCCGCAGTCTAGCTATAACAAATGGTAGAAAATATATGATTATGTAAATGAAAATAAGTTGGATATTTCATTTTTGCAAGCGTGGATTTAAACGTGCGCGATCTTACGACCTGATACTTTTTCTAAGATTCGAAATCATCGGGAGTACAGTACAAGAAGGCGGCTGTTACAAAACCCATTAAAAGATCGTTTCGCTGCACGTCGCGGGAAAGAATTATAAGCGCCTCGAAAGTATCACGACGAACATCTTGCTGTCGACACACGTGTAGCAAGCAATTAACGTCCCCCGTCGGTGATAATTCTTCGCTCCTCGATCATCCTTGTCCACGCCCGATAAATCTGTAAGGCTGTATCGTATTAGCGGTCTGTGTTGTGTAATGCACGCGTGTCGAGGTGTGTTACATCGTATAAGGTCGATGTCCCTATTTCTAATCACGTCCCGATTTCTGCTCAGTACGTATATTTTTTATTTAATGTAAATAGTTAAATAATAAATACGAAAAATTATTTAAATTCGTTCAGTATTTCTGTACAAAATGCTACAGCCCACTGTTCAATAGATGGCAGCATTTTAATAGAAATAAATTTAATAAGTGTGTCCGTCGTAAAGAAACGTGATTTCCATAACGCCTCGAAGACGACTTAAAGACGCCTTAGACCTACAATGGACGTCTTCGAGACATCATGCGCTATCTGGGTTGCGATCGTGAGTTACAGGTGGACCCTGCATATTTACTAAAAAAAATTACGGAATCTTTAATATTGTTCGCGAAAGTTTGGTTTTGGCACTTCCAATTTTCGTTGAGCAGAAATAGGGACACGCTCGTGACCAAAAATGCGAGCATTTTCATTTTCGCTGAGTCTGAACTATTATTAAGTTAAAATGTTTTTAAAAATTCTTTTACATAAATTAAATTATAAAGGGAGGTTTAAATTTTATATCTAACAAGTTCTTTGTGTCGATTGCTGCATAAATAAATAATAAAAATCAATTTCTGCGACAGCAGAACTCTTACACGATTAGAAATAGGGACATTAGCTACTTGAAAAAATGCGGCGAGCCAGCCAAATCCTGATAGAGCTTGCACAATTTGACAAAACACCTGGCAAAAATCCAGCTGGAGGGACCACTGTATTATAGTTTCGGCTTGTCGGATGTTCCCTTTTTTTTTCTTGTATCTTCGCTTTCACCCTGCCAGCTTTGATCAGAGAGTATTTTACGGGGGAAGTTGAACGAAATGGGTTGGGTGTCGTGGCAATAGGGGGGAGGGGGGGGGGG